GTTGCTCAGAATTCCTTTTCAGTTATCTCAAGGGTTTCCTGCTCTGTGGGATCTGGTACTTGAGAATTATTTTATTCCTTTGGTGGTGTCATATTTTCTTGCTTTTTTCATATTCTAGTTTCTCTACATTGACATCTGGTCATGTGGTAGATCAGTGTCTTCTTCTATTATTCTTGAGTGGGCTTTGAGTAGAGAGACTTCCTCCTGTAGATGTGTTTTATATTGATTATTGAGTGCAGCATTTTAGTATTGGTTCCAGGTAGATGCAGTAGTGTAGTCTCCATGTGGGCACTTCAGCCATATTCAGTGTTGGAGTTGTGTGCGAATGCCTCCATGGCCTAGACACTGGGGCACTTAGTAATTCCTTGCTGACGTTAGTAACACTGTGTTGGGTCATTGAGGACATGGGTGAGCTCTCAAGTTCTCAGGAGAAGCACATGGGCCCCTGTTGCTCTTTGGCTGGAGTAGGTGACCCTGGAAGGGTTTGGTGGCACCCTGGCAAATTCTATGACTCTCATGGGTGCAGTGGGGTACACTGGAGCTCCTCAGTTTGAATGGGTGATCCTGAGCAGGGTTTCTCTTCTTTCCTACAGTCAAAGGCTCCTCTTAGGTCCTTGCTTCCCCTATTTGGGGGATGGGTTAGTGGTGGTTGAGTATTTTCTTCCTTATTCTATTTGGGTATCCTGGGTTTCTGCTCCCTCTGGGAGTTCTGCATATGTCTCTCCCCAGATCAAGGCAGTCACGTGGGCTGCACACATATGTCCCACTCCCAGGTGTGTTACCGTGGCGGGCAGCTTAGTCCCCCTGTGGTTTGGGCCACTGGGTTGCAGGTCTGCACTCATTCACCTCTTTCCCCAGGCTTGTTGGTGACTGTACTTGTGTCAGTGTGGTAATGTGGCCAGCGGGTCACCTGCTTGCCAGCAGTGGCTGCTGCTGTGGCAGCAGGCCATCCTTGTGGTGGTGGTGATGGTGGCTGTGGTGGACCACTCACATGGCGCCAATGTCTGCAGTGCAGCTGCTACCCACACAGTGGCTCCCCCATCCATGCTGTCAGCAGGGGCTGCCCTTGGCTCCTGAGGTCCTCATGCTCCTCTCAGTTCCTTAATTGCTTTCTTTTGTGTTCAATAGATATTTTGTAGTGTACTATCCTAACTCCTTTGATTTTTTTTTTCTTTTTTTATCCTTTGATGGCGGGCCAGGATGGGGTCTCAACCCTTGACCTTGGTGTTACCAACACCATGCTCTAACCAACTGAGCTACCTGGGCAGCCCTGGATATTTCTTTTGCTATATTTTAAAAGTTTTTTTCTTGATTGTTGTCCAGAGGTTATGGTTAACATCTTTTTATAAAAATCTGATTCTGATTAATACTAAATTAATTTCAATAGTATTAAAAGATGTTACCCCTATATAGCAATGTCTATGTAATGTCCATTCCCCCCTTTTTTATGTTGTTGTTATCAAAAATAACATCTCGATACATTCTATGCCCATCCACATAGATTTATAATTATTCCAAGTGCTGAAAATATAAACTTGCCAAACAAGAATTCTCTATCTGGCAAAACCTTCTTTCCTTCAACAACCAGGAAAAATTAAGACATTCCCAGATAAATAAAATGAGAGAGTTTTTCATGAGCACCCCGCAAAGAAATACCAAAGGAAGTCCTCAGGCTGCAATGATAGGACACTACACAGTAACTCAAATCCATGTGAAAAAATAAAAGCACTAGTAAAGGTAACTGCATAGGCAAATATAAATATAAATGCATTTTTGTTTGTAACTTTTTCTTCTATCTGACTTTTTTCCATTAGAAAAAGGAAAAGTATTTATTGAATTTGATGCTAATATAACAAAAACTCCCTCATCAAAAAGAGTAATAAAAAAGGAAATGTCCACTTTATTAAAATTGCAGAGAGATAAAAACACATGGTATGTAAGAATACTGCCATCTGCAGAAGATTTCCTATAACTTTGGCTCTCCTAACTGAGTTTCAAATACCTTCATAGAGCAATATGTCATTGCGCTGCCTTCTGGCCTCCATAGTTGCAGATGAGAAATGTTTTTGCTAAATGTTGCTGAGGATCCCTTGCATGTGATGAGTTGCTTCTCTCGTGCTGCTCCCAAGATTCTTTGTCATTGTCTTTCAACAATTTATGATGTGTCTCCTTTAATTTATCCTACTTGGAGTTTGTTGAGCTTTCTGCCTGGATGTGTTTTTCATCAAATTTGGCAAGTTTTTGGCCATTATTTCTGTAAGTATTCTTTCTTCCTCTTTTCTTTCTCTCTTATGCTTCTGGGACTGTCATTATGCATATGTTGGTATGTTTAAAGGTATATACAGGTCTCTGAGGCTCTGTTCATTATTCTTTTTCTTTTTTTTTAATTTCTCTTCCTCAGACTGGACAATCTCAATTGACCTGACTTCAGTTTTGGTAATTCCTTCTTCCACCTGCTCAGATCTGCTTTAGAGCCCCTGCGGTAAAATTTTTATTTCCATCATTGTACTTTTCAACTCCAGAATTTCTGTCTGGTTCCTTTTTATAATTTCTTTTTTTTTTTTTTTTTTTTTTTTTTTTTTTTTTTTTTTTTTTTTTTTTTTTTTTAAAA